CAAGGCAGGCTTGGCGCCAATGAGCTAAATCCTTGGTCCCTCTTTATGTACATAGTTCTGAGGATGTATCATTTAAATCACACATTTTCCAATCCAGGTCTCCTGGGGCCACAATCTGTACTTCAGAGTCTTATTGTACACCATTAATGAAGTGGATATTATTTTCATATTGGTCTGGCTCTTCTCTATTTGCCACTGAATACAATCAATGAGAGGGAGAGATTATTAATTAGAGACCAACAACAGCATTTAAGTGAAGTGGGATCTAGGAGTTAAGAATGATATTTTTTAAAATAATCTGTGTATATTTTAACTGATATAAAGATGTTTTAAAGGCCATCAGTTACAGAAAGGGCCCCAGCTCACCTGGTATGTGCAATTATTTTGAAATAATAATTTACTATAACTGTAGAAGATTAACGATTAGTTCAAAACCACCTGCAAAATCTCATAATCACATTTTTTGATAGTTCTATTTTGAAAACATGTTACTTACCAAAGGAGCAAAAGTATTTTCTGTTGAGAAAAATGAATAAAACTGCAATAATTTGACATGGTGCATCTTATAATATGCAGCTATCCAGTAGAATTAATGATTACTTGCTCTGATAATTCCATTGGCCAGAGAGTTAAAAACCAGTTTTCCTCACTGATTCTCCAGGGAATATATTTAGTCAAATAAACAAATGTACAACATTGTAAATGTCCTTGTCAGGCTCAGATGGGTTTTTTTTAAAAAGGCCTACTCTCACAGTACTTTATGTCCCACACTGTTATATCTGGAACCCTTACAGGACCAGAAGCATTTTTAAAAACAAAGTTTAAACTCACTTTGCTTCACTTTTTCCTGATTTCCTCATGTCGAGATAAATACTTTTAGCATAAATTACAGATGATAAAACACCAAGACCACATTCTGTATCTAAGTAAAAGAGATTTTTTTCCTATAAAAATACCACTCAAAATTTCCATATTTCATTTGAACCTTCAGCTTTTATTTTCATTCTCTGCGAGTCCACAGATGAGTTCTTAACTAGTCACATGGTAAGAACCTGCTGTCTACAGAGAGATCACCCAGTTTACTTACCCCTGACATAGCATCTGCCTCTAAGTGTCAGATCTACCACTGAATGCTCAGCTGCACCACTGAAATGTTCAAAGCCCAGAAGACATGAACCAACACGTGCAGAAGATGGGGAAGAGGGGCACACAGCTGAGACCATGACAATCTGAGTAAATGTAAAGTTCGGGAGTGAATGACTCCACTGGAAAACACCGGACAATGTCAAGCTTCTAACAACTTACCAGGCCAGTTTCTATACAAAACCTCTCTCAAGGCAAAGGAAAAGGAAGGGATAACCCACAGCCTACAGGACACAGTTGTCTGAAAACTTCAAATAGACGCTGGATTCACCAGTGCCCACTTTGGAACACATAAATAGTGACTGAAGCACATGGCAAGGAAAATGTACAGGCTATGCTGTATTCTTCAGGTGCCAAAACTCAAAAGATATGTGCTTATGTGTGCAGAGGAAGTATTGAAAATATGGTATGAAAAGCCTAATAAAACATAAAGAGCAGATAGTTTGGACAGATTTTAAAACAAAGTATTGAGAGTTTTAGCAATAGTTCATGAATGGATGTTGGTTTTAAGAGTAGTCTAAAGAAGTAGAAGGTAAAAGGGAATACATTCCAAGGTCCAAGCCAACTGGCAAAAAGACTTCTAATTAAGGGAAGAACACAACCCAACACAGACAACTGGGCACATTCCATTGAACTGTCAATGGCAGTCATTCATGTCTAGCAAGGATTCCAACTTCAGGCTCTACAAATGGCTTAAGGCCTGAGAAATCCAAAATTCTGCTGCTAATTCACTTTATTTAAAATAAAAGTGAAAATTAAAAGTAAGTAGTAATATGGCAGCTTTATATGCTTGAGGCCCTTTAAATGTTCCTCAGCACCATCAAAAAAGAAAAAGAGAGAGAGAGACAGAAAGAGACAGGAATAGAGAGGAAGAAGGAAGGAAAGAAAAAGAAAAGAAAATGGGGATGTGTGGAGGCAGGGACAGAAAAAGACAGAAAAGTAAAGATGAGTCTCTTCAGATACCAAGTTAAAATCCATGTGATGAATCCAGAAAAAGAATGCAATATTAAGGAAGAATCCTCTGAGATACTGGGCATCAGACAGTGCCAAGCTGTGCCTCTGGTGGGAGGAGGAACTTGCAGCAAACAATGTAAATGCTCCCATTGTTCCTGAGGCCTCTTTATGCACTATCCCATGCTACCTGGTACAAACACCTAACAGTAGACTCAGCCCTGCCTACTGCCTCCAAGCACCTCGGTATGAAATTTCCACTCAGGGAATCCTAGCCTTGTCCACCAGAAGCAATGGCATCACAAGCAAAGTGTGTGCACAAACTGAGAAAGAGCTCGGCCACATGCTCCCTCATAGGGCATCATTTTCCAAATGTTCTCACTAGTACCTGGCTCAGTTTCCCTAACCACAATATAGGAAAGTCTTGGTTTGAGAAGAACTATCCATTTGTGAGCTGCGCAGTAGTTAGCAACGTGACTCTAGGCCACACCAGAAATGTTTTAAATACCCAATCTTAATTTGTCCACCAGAGGAGAGATGGCTCTTTCTTTAGTGCCGTTTGAGAAGATGAAAAGGGTTCATAAGAGGAACCATTAATAGGACCAATTATCCTCCTATCTCTATGCTGCTTCTGAATCCCAGCATCTCCAAAGCTAAAATAATAAAAAGGGATTGTCAGTAGCATGACACAAGGTTGAGAAACAGTTCACTCATTGTGATGGTTAATCTTGATGTCTCTGCATTGAGAAATACCCAGGAAAGTAGCAAAGTACACTTTTGGGTGTGTTTGGGAGGGGTTTCCAGAAACAAGGGGAATGTGGGTCAGCAAACCAAGGGGTGCCCTGGAGCAGCACCATCCACTCATGTCAGGGGCTCTGGGGGCTCTTGATGGATCAGAAGCAGAAGGAAGAAGTCCACTAGCACAGCACTCCGGCTTTCTGCTGTTTTTCTGCTTCCCAACTGCCATGAGGTGACCGACCAGCTTTGCCCTACCACATCCTTCTGCCATGTCCTGCTTTACCTGAGAAAAGTATACCTTTCCTCCTGTAAGTTATTTTTCTTAGGTATTTGTCACAGCAACACAAAGCTGACTGATACACTCATTTACCATAATAATGCACAAGATTAAACCTAGCAAGTAGAAAATCTTTGCACTTCACAAGCTGTTGACTATAGTCCCCTCAAGAAGACAAACCACTGAGAAAGTGTCTCTTCTTTCCCCCGCTAGCAGCACCACTGCGCAGAGCAGAGAATGGTTGACAAAGAAAAATGTAGAAAAATAAGAGAATGATGAACTATAGAAGCAGAGAAGGGAAGGAAAATGTATGGTGCTAAGATGTTAAGTGAAGCAAGGTCTCCAGGGATTTAGCACAGGCATTGAGCCTGCGTCGCAAGTACAAGGTCCTGCGTTTGATCACCGGTACCAAAATTTAAAAAAATAAATAAATGAAGTAAGGTCATGGAAGAATGCAGCAAGGTCATGGGAGAAAGGAGCAGGGATGAAAAGGACAGAAACATTTACCCTTTTATATGTTCTGAATTGGGTGACAAGTACAAATATTACTTATTTAAAGAGCTACCCTGAAGTACAAAGTAAAATAGAGATTGTAGTTATTCCTGAATTTTTAACATTAGCTGAGAATAAATATAAAAATATCAGTAATTCTTTGGGTGGCAGAGTGAGAGGACTGGGGAATATAGTTCATAAAAAACAGTAACATGAAGACATCAAAGACCCACAGGACCAGACAATGCAAAGAGACATGATATGCTGCTGATCTGCCATCACATACCAACATAAAAAGCAGCCTTAAATTGCCTATCTGCAAGTTCTCTTTCAAAATAAAAATTATAATCATTATCTGTTTAACAATACCTAAATAGCTGTGTGAAACATTAACCTGACCATCACAGTAAAAACATCAGAAAATAATAACAAAATATCAAAAGCTATTCACCCATTAAATATTGCTATTTTTATTACTTGTTAGTGATTTGGGTTATTTTTGTCACATAAATGTTTGATTTCCGAAAACCTTCATGGCAAAAGAATTAACTGCTCAGAAAATTAAGACCTTATATAAAAGCCATTAAAATAATTTTACGTTCATAAAAGTAAATAATTGCAACCAAATACTAAATTAAGGTGGTATCAATGACATTTCGCACTTAAATTATAGTGAGGATGACACTATTAATTTATGTTTCTGTCACTTTTACTGTGGAAACCTTTGAAAATTCTTTCTTGGGCACCTTCAGTCCTTATCTCCAGCTGTTTCACTAACATCCGTGATGCTTATAAAATGTATTTTTGCTTACAGAAAATACACTATAATTTTATGTGTCAACTTGACTAAGCTATAGTACCCAGTTATAAGAAAACACTAATCTAGGTGCTATATAGATATTTTGTATTAACATCCACAATACAGAGAAACGTAAGAGAAACCTTAGCCTGCGAATACAGTACTGCCCAGTATCATTATTTCCTTAAATATATTTTTTAAAGGCAAGATACAGTTTAATGAGGGATGCTTGTTCCAATACAGAATATAGAACTCACAACTGTTTCTATATAATTGGAACTGACATGGGAGATAAAAGTTAAAGGAAAAATACAATTGACTTTGAGAAATCGAGTCCTAAACCCAGCACGTGATTCTGAAACACAAATATCCTATACACGCGAAACTTTTTTCAATGATGAATGTCAGAGTTGGAAAAGAATTGTCTGGTAATATATTTTAGCAGTCTAATGTTTTTAGAGGGCAAAACCTCAAATTTAAGACTCTGCAATATTAAAGCACTCAGCTGGAGTCAGTATCAATTCACAAGGCCTTATAATTTGCATTAGAGTATAAAAAGGAACAAATTTTTAATATTTAAAATAACAGCCCCAACCTTACCTCCCACATCAGCCTGTAGTCCATATTTTCATCCAAGTCTTCAGGCATCCTCTTCTCTCCAGCAAAAGGTCCAAACTTTTCACCCTGAGGAGCAGAGATGACATTGCAAAAGGATTAACACAATCATCAAGATATTAAAAGACACTACTTCTATCTTCTGGAAGTTTTTTCCATCGAAATCTTCAGGACTAATGGTAGAGATAATTTTTTAATCTTTAATTTATACATCACAAAATATTGTCAAATTTTAAAATCCAACTAATCTGCTTTTAGCCTAAAAACCTGAATCCACAACACATGAGCCAGCATAAAAGGGTTAAAATGCTTAACTTCCAAATTCTGAAAAGGCACTGAATATTGTACTTCATCTGCCTCAATCCTCTTCATAGCTTCAGGCCAGTGGACTTAAAATGAAACACAGTGAGTTGAGAGACGACACCACCAGGCAGAAAATCACCTGGTTTCTATAAAAATCATAAATTCATCCCTATTTTGCACAAGAAAGAAGAAGGCTTGCCATTCTCAAAGGAAGACTGTTCACAAATAAAATTCGAATTCGCCTGCCAATCTTTTAAACAGCCAGGCAGTACACTTTTACCAGAGTTCCTCAAAGCGCGTGTTTTAAAGTACACTGCACAACAAACCAATGCAGCTGATTATTCCAAGTTCAGAAGGCTGGGCTTTATTAAAATCAGTCTGGGTGTGGGATATGGGAAGCTGCATTTAAACAAGCATTCTTGTGAGACCTAATCCCTGAAAGTGTAAACTGTGAGTGGTCAGTCCCTGCAGTCTGCTCTGCAGGGACTAGTGAGGCCACATTTAGAGGGTAAGTGACACATTTTTCCCTCTCTAAGGGAACCAAAGGAGAAGCTGCAGATACAGAGGGGACTTGGTGTGTGTCCAGCCAGACCCTACTACACAGAAATGTACACAGATAGACAGAACTACTTAGGTCAGTATGAGCTTCCTCCAAAGCTGCCTGTGACTATTTTTCAGGAGAATCCTTCCCTCTGCATGGAGGTGGAAGAAGAAAAACAAAATCTCCAGGGGAACTTTTGATGAACACTGTTGGGGGGGAAACCACCAATGCAACGTTTCAAGGAATATAAATTGTTTAATGAACAACAGAAAGCCCAACTTCTGAGAATAGTAAACTTTTAAGACTTAAAAGCACCACAAATAGAGAACCTAGACCCCTCATCCTGCAGATGACAAAAGAAGGTCCTGAGAAACCACAAACAATGGCAGGGCTGGGAAGACCACTTCTTTAGGTTAACCCTAGGAGCAGAAGTACCAACAGAGACTTTTCCAATCCAGACTGTAATTCTAAGTAACCCAAACACAGGCACACAAAGAAACAGATCGCTGATTATTTACAGCTACACAGAGAAATTAATGTAAAATACAGAAAGCAAATTAAGGAGAAGCCGGATGCTCATTCTACCCCTCTATCTTCCCACACCTCAATATCCACTTGATACTAAAATGGGCTCAGACAGGCACAACAGCCCCAAAGATGCTTTCGTTAAAAAGTAATCATTTCACTGTTTTTTTCATTTAACTTTTTATAGGGAAATTAAATATATATTTCAAAAAGAGAAAAAATTAATCATTTCACATCTCAAGATGAGATTTAACTGATATTCAATGGCAGGTAAGTAAAGCTGAATAAGAAATAAAAGAACAAGGACAGGGAATTAATGCTACTGAACTACCACGCACCACACTCCAGATGATCCCTCACGGAAAGGTTCCAGTGTTACAACTAAGAAAACTGAAGCACAGTGCAAGATTCTGTCTCAAAAACAAAACAAACCAAAAAGAAAACTGAAGCTCAAAATTTTAAATAACTTGCTTAAGATTGGTCAGCTAAAAAAGATCAGAGACAGGGTCAGGCACCAGGGGTTTGCTGTGAGTGGAGAGCTCAGGCACTGTCTACACCATGCTATGGTGCGGAACCCAACAAATACAGGCACAGACTACAGCCACACTTCTCAGGTGTCCTCTGACTGTGTTCACAAGTACCCAGGCTGTGCTCTATCCAAAGGAGACCCTCAATACACTGACTGTTGAACTGAAGAAATAGTGAACTGAATTAAAGCCAATCTGGAAAAGTGACCAAAACTCAGGTGTGTTTTTTTGTAATTAACTTGAGGTTTTGATATTAACAGACGTGGTTCAACTTTCATCCCACTATATGGAGTACTGTGTCCTCAATTATTATAGAAGGTCAAGCCTAGACAGTCTCTACTGCAAGCAATCTATTCAAACCAACCAGCTGGTTCCTCTTTGCAATACAAATATGGAGGAAAAAATTAAATTCTTCAATTCAGCAATGTTCACAAGACTAAAGACAAAAGAATAAAAACACAATAAATGGAATGGCATCAAAAAAAGGCCTGACCGGATGCAGGCCTGGAGAGGAGCTATAGTCTGGACCTTAGTGCACAAGCATCACGGCAAATATTTAGAAAAGGCACATTATGGGGGTGTGTAATGCCCATGTTTATTTTTAGAAGAATTTGTATTAATGAACTTTTAATTTCATGAGTTTTATTATATTAAACAATGTGTGCTTAATGGAAAATAAAATGCCAATAATAAAATATTAAAATTTTAATATGTAATATGTAGAATAAGCATCAACCTTTTCAACATCAAGTGTTTACCTGCTTACAAGATCTAAAAAATAGCAGCAGAAATAAATTCCTATGTGAGCTACAATGCAAATACAAATAGAACTCTACCACAGAAATAATCTTCGCCTCAATTATCACACCTCAGGCAGTCTTCACACAGGACAACAGCGTGTTTCATACACAAGTCCATTTACACTGACAGCACGTGTGCTTAGCTTTCCTTTCCTGTTTGGCAGGCTGTACTTGTCACCTCTCCTGCCTTCCTCTTTCGTCAGAAGCTTCCTATTGTATTATCCAACGTCTGCCTAGCAGGAAAATGAAATATTAATAAAAATAAAATACCAAATATATACTGAATGTTTAGAATAAATATTAACATTTTCTATGTCAACTCTTTACTTGCTAAATCTAAAAAATAATAGCAGAAATCAATTCCTATATGAACTACAATGAAAATACAAATAAAACTTTACCACAAAAAGTAATCTTTACTTCAATTATCATATCTAAAGCAGTTTTCACACCTGAGAAGAGCATGTTCCATACACAAGCACATGTGTTTTGTTCTCCTGTCTTCTTTGGTAGGACATACTTGACATCTTGCTGGTCTTCTGTTTTCTTTGGGGGTTCTTATGATGTTTCACCTGTCTGTTCATCGGTCTGCTCCAGAATTCTTTTGAGGAGTTCTTTGGGGAGATACATGCTATTCTTCCTCTGTTGTATCTGATCATGTCAATTCTAGTCCCAATTCTTTTAGATAATTTCTTCATGATATTTTCTTGCTTGTTATTTTCTTTGTAAACTGTGAAACTACTTATGCCAACATGTTTAGGACTGAGTAAAATACAACCACTGGCCAATGTTTTGTGCTTCAAGTGACATCATAGTTGCTGCACAACTCAACATGTACCTTACCTTTTGTTTTGTTGTAAAATGTGACCATTCCTGACTTCATTTGTGTTGAGGATTCACTGTCAATCCTTTTACATCCGCTTGTTTGTTTTGAGAGATGATCTCACTATGTAGTCCAGATTAGCCTTGAACTCACTATGTAACACAGACTGACCCTGAATTTACAGGATCCTGTTATTTCAGCCTCCTTAGTGCTGGATTATAGGTGTGCATCACCAGGCTTGGCCTCAGTATCAATCTTATCATCATGGTGGACATTATCAGTATTACTTTGTTTTTCTTTGCTATATAGTAGGCCAATGTTATGTATTTCTGAAATCCAAAGATTGTATTATACATTTTTTTCTACTGTGAACTTACAACATTTTTTCAGGAATTTTGTTCTTACAAATAGTTCCTGAACTGGTGTTCTTTTAGCAAATGTAATATCAATGGATTTGTGTTACTTTTGTGCAACAAGTCTGTTCACAAAGTCATATGGTTTATTACTGCAGGAATAAAGAAACTGGTATTTGATTTCCAGGATAAAATTCTAAATTCAAGGTGTAAAATGTCTTCAAATCTACCAGAGCATATATTTTTATGGAAAGTTTACTTTGCATATATTACCGAAAATGATGCAAATGTTTATCAGTTGTCATCTATTTGGACAATGTATAAATTGCTTGAGTGTTCAAAACAAAACTTTCAACAAATGAATGGAACAGCAGTAAAATTGTCAGAATTTTTTTTTTTTTTTTTTTGGTACTAGGGATTAAACTTGGGTCCTTGTGCTTGTGAGGCAGGTGGTATAACCACTAAGCCAGAAATTTTTTTTTCTTGGTCTCTTTGTTGTCAAAACACAAGCAGTTCTGAAGGACACCAAATCATGAGTGTCATTATTCTTCTAAAAAAAATCTTAACATTCCATCTGTCACTTCTCCATTAATTCTTTAGTTTTAGATGATTAGAATCATAAAACTCTATGAAAGCTTTTAATTCAGATACTGAGGTGTCATGATACATATATTTTTGAGTATTACTAATGATGTATATAAAGTGCTTTCTTGTATTTCATATTTAGTGTATTTCAAAATATCTTGTAGCATATCATCCATTACAATTTCCAAAACTGAATCACAGTGTTAGCAATAGGTTCCAGGGTGCCCAACAGGTGTCACTGCTGGCAAGAACCTAGTAACATTTTCTGACCTCGTTTTAACACTGGTTTGTTTAGGTATACATGATCATTTTGCAGCATTTTTACTAGTAAAACATTTATTGACATTCTGTTTTCTTCCTCATCTGAATTCAGGTCTTCATTCTGTACTTCTCTGTCAAATCTCTGTCATACCTGTCTTATCTTGCTAATTTTTTGGGCTTATATGATCCAAGTTATCATCCATAACCCAGTTACCCGATGACCTACTTTCAAACTCCTTGGAAGATCATAAATTCAAAGCCAGCTCCAGCAGCTTAGTGAGACCGTATCTCAAAATAAAAAATAAAAAGGGATGGTAGCCCAATAGTAGCACCAGTCCACCTACCCCTCCC